TAGGAAATGCTAACATAATATTGTGAACCAGGAATGCCACAAATTACAGACATTATGATCCCAGTGACATTAAAATAACATAAAAAACCCTGAAAAAACCTGCCAAAATGTTAGCTATGGATTATCTCTGGAAAACTAGAGATGAACTTTTCCTTTCTCCGTATCTTCCCTTATCTTCCGTATCTCCTACCAAAGGAAAAGTAAAGCTGATTTCTGTTTTGACTGCCACCATCTGCGCCACGGAATTCTCTTGCCCCGAGTCACACTTCCCTTTGTTCAACAGACACTTGCTGAGGCCTACAATGCCCAGGCACTGGGAGAGGGAGGCGGCAGTGAGGGCAGGGAAGTCATCGGTTCCAGACCGGCCTGTCCTACAGCCTAAGAGCCCGCCTCAAAAAATTGTTTTCCAATTCATGAATATGGGCTGTCTTTCTACTTGTTTAGGTTTTCGTTTTCAAGTGTTTTTATACTTTTCAGTGCATATGTTTTTCACCTCTTGAGTTAATGTTGAAATAATACTTTATTCTTTTTGATGCTAGCTACTGTGATGCAATTATTTTCTTAATTTCCTTATTGTTCATTGTTAGTGTACAGAAACAAATTCTTTGTGTTAATTTAATTTTATATCCTACAACTTTGCTGAATTGGTTTCAACTTTGCTGAATTGGTTTATCAGTTCCAACAGCTTTTACTTTTTGGTGGAATTCTTAGGGTTTTCTACGTATTAGGTCACCTGCAAACAGATTTTTTCTTGCCCGATTTCTTTCTTCCTTTTTTGGGGGTGTGTGTGTGGTTGAGACAGGATCTTGCTTTGTAGTTCAGGATGGCCCTGAACTGACTAAGTAGCCCAGGCTGATCTCAAACTCACAGCAATCCTCCTGCCTCAGCCTCCCAAGTACTAGGATTACAGGCCCATGCCACTAGGCCTGGCTTTCTTACCTGATCCCTCTGGCTTTTACTTTCAGTACTATGTTCAATAGAAATGGAAAAGTTATCACTGAGTCTTTCAATGCTGAGTGTGATACTAGATTTTCATACATGGCCTTTATTATACTATGTTAGTTTCTTCTAATCCTACTTTGTTGATCTTTTTACTTGGAAAAGATTTTTGCATTTTTCCAAATTCTCTTTCTGGATCAACTGAGATGATCACATAAGGACAGTACCTTGGACCACAGCACAAATTCACTTCTCAAAAAAAAGCAAACAATATTTACAGCACATTTGTTTGCAGTTTTCTTTTTTGTTTGTTTGTTTTTTTTGAGACAGGGTCTCACTATGTAGTTGAGACTGACCTGGAACTCACTATGTAGCCCAGGCTCGTCTCGAACTCACAGCGATCCTCCTGCCTCAGCCTCCTGAGTGCTGGGATGACAGGCATTCACCACCATGCCTGGCTGTTTGCAGTTTTCTTGTGGTGTCTCTATCAAGAAAATGCTTGCCTCAGAGAGTGAGTTAGGATGTAGTTCCTCTTCTTCAATTTTGGGAGGACTCTGAGGTTCGGTGTTAGCTTTTAAAATGTTTGGTAGATGGTTTGCACCAATGAAACCGTCTAGTCCAAAGCATCTTTGTCTGTTTTTGTTTTGGTTGGGAGATCTTACTCTCCTTACTAGTGACATCTCTTCAGATTTTCTATTCATTCATTTAATTTTTTTGGTTGAGACAGGGTCTTACTATATTATTTAGGCTGGCCTTGGACTCACAGTGCAGCCCGGCTTACTGCTTTTTCTTTACCTCTGTTCTGATCGCTTCCTTTCTTCTGCTAGGGTTGGGTTTCATTTGCACATGCACACGCTCAGAGCTCTCCAACGTGTGCAGTTTGGTAATTGGTTTGAGATCTTCAGTGTAAGGATAGCAGCTTTTTATTGCATTCCATATGTTGTGTTATTTGTGTTTTTCATGTGCCTCAAGATATTTTCTAACTTTTCTTGTGATCTCCTTTCTGACTCGTTGGGCGTTTAAGAATGGGCTGCTGGGCAAGGGGGTAGCTCAGGGGTACGGCACTTGTTTAATCTGTGCAACGCCCTGTACTTGATCTCTGGTGCTGCAAAAGAAAAAAGTAGCGCGCTGATTTCCACCTGCTTTTCAATTTTGCGGTTTTCCTTTTGCTATGGATTTCTCACTTAAGTCCATTGTGATTGGAAAATACACATTGTACGATGGTGCTATTTTTAACTTACTAAGACTGCTTTGTGGTTCAGCTCATGGTCTGTGCTTGAGAATTCTTTTTCTTTTGGGCACAGTGTAGTTTGGCCACCCTGAACCCACTCCAGAGGCCGACAGTGAAGCCGTCGGGCTTGGGGTAGGGTGTGTGCTCAGCATGCGCCAGGCCCTGGGGTCGGTCCCTGGCAACAAATAAAGCTGTGTCCTGGCAGGAAGGCTGCCTGCCAGAGCTGGAAGAACTGAAGAATTTGGAGTCCGTCTACTTGTGAGAAAATTGAGGGATCAGACTGATTCATCCAAGATTGCAGAGGGGCCAGTGGGCCTGCAAGCCATGGGTACTGACCAAAGCAAGTTCTCAGCTGTGAGCCTTCTCCATGACATCAATAACACTTGCATAAAACCTTAACTCCAGGTTCATTCAACAAACTTTTCGTCGGGGAGGGTTTGAGACAGGGTCTCACTATGTAGTTCAGGTTGGCCTCAAACTCACGGCAATCCTCCTGCCTCAGCTTCCCAAGTGCTGGGATCATAGGCCTGTGCCATCATGACCAACATCAACAAATATTTTCTGAGCATTTTTGTGTTCCAGGCACAAAGCCAATCTTGGAAACACCCTATCTGTGCAGGGTCTGCCTACTCTGGGATAAGCCCGATTGTTGTTTCTAAAGGCATGGATAGTCAAAGCGCCTGGTGCACTACTCAAACATACAACATGTCATCAAAATGTCTATATTTGGCTTATTACATGCTCCTTCTAGAAATGACAAGCACAAAGATCCGGAAAGGCCAGACCAAAAAAAAAAAAAAAAAAGCTCACCATGTCCACAGGGCTGTCTTCTATGAAGAAAAAATAAGGTACAAAGTGGACCGCTGTACTCGCAGCTCAGAGGGGTTAAGGAGAGTAGCATAGTGACAGTCAGGTCACTCCATCAGGCTTTACCATCCAAGGGGTGTCCAGCCCTGACTCGCTGGGCCGGCGGAGGCCTGAGGCTGCGCTCTCTGACCAGGAGCTGTCAAGGTGGGACTAAGGAACCCCACTCCCTCACCCTGCTCAGCTGCGGTTCCGGGCACTGCACTGACCATCGCCAGGGAGCCCCCCGGCTCACCTAGGCTGTCTCACCACCCCTCTGTGACACAAAGCCGGGCAGGGCACACGATCTGCTTTTACAGATGTGGAAACCAAAGCGTAGGGAGGTGACGAACCTGACCGGAAAGTTGAGGCTTAAACGCGGAAGCAGAACCACCAGGGGATGGAGAGAGAGAGAGGACCCGGAGAGCTTCAGTGTGGAAATTGCTTTACATGATGATGGGGGCTGGTTCAGAAAGTGTGAGAGCCTCAAGGGTAGGCTGTCAGGAAGGGCGGGCTGGAACTCTTGGATGCTGGCTAATGGCCCATGCTACATATAAATTTCCATGGCTGCATCATGCCAGAAACTGCCACTTCCCTCTTCACCATTCAAAATTGTCACTAGGTTCTTTTTTGGGGGGGGGTGGTACCAGGGATCAAACTCAGGTCCTTGCGCTTGCAAGGCAGGTGGTAGAACCACTGAGCTAAATCTCCAGTCCAAAACATCATGTTTTTGTTTTGGTTTTGGTACCAGGGATTGAACTCAGGACCTCACACTTGTGAGACAGGCAGCGAAACCACGGAGCTAAATCCCCGGCCCATGCACTAGGTTCTTAAGTCCAACCAAATGAGAGAATTCCAGGAAACCTAGCACCAATGTAGAAGACTGATCCCTAGGATTCTCATTCTCTGGAACCAGTTCTGGTACCAAAATCTGTATTAGTCAGACCCAGTGATAAAGACAGAACCAGTGGGATATATATTAAAGAGATTTGTTGCAAAAATAAATATTAAAAAATAAAAAGAGATTTGTTACAAGGAACTGGAGCCAGTGACTGGGGGGCTGCTTAAACAAGCCCAACCTGAGAGCAGGCTGCCGCAGCAGCAGGCCGGAGCTCTGCTCAGGGGCTAGAGCTGCTGTCTGCTCACACGGAATCTGGTCTGCCTTTCAGATTGACTCAGGACCACCCGAGTTATAGGGGATAATCTCCCTTAGACTTCAACCACATCTAGATAATACTTTCACACAACCTGTAAAGCCAGCTATTCAAAAGGGTGAGTAGGAAGTTATAAAGTAGAGGCCAGGTTGTGCAACTAAGTGAGACCATGTCTCAAAATTTTAAAAAGGCTGGGGTATATCTCCACGACAGAGCACTTGCTTAGCATGCACGAGAGCCTGAATACCAGCACCACAAAAACAAAAACAACAAACTCAGGCACGGTTCTGTGTACAGATTGTCTCACCTACTCAGGAGGCTGAGACAGGAGAATTTCTTGAATCCCAGAGTTCAAGGCCAGCCTGGGTAATTAGCCAGGGGACCGCAGTCCAAGCAAATTGACACACCTGCGGCCACGCTGTAGGCTCTGTCCTTCTGCATCTATGCTCAGCCTCTTCCTGCCATCACAACAGATGCTCACGCTGACTCTCAAGTTGCTGATGTCACCTCAGGACTGGGGCATCCCATCTGTCTGACCCTCTTTTTTTTTTTTCTTTTTTGAGACAGGGTCTCACTATGCAGTTCAGCCTAGCCCAGGCTGCCTCCAACTCACAACACTTCTCTTGCCTATAGGAAAGGGTGAGGGGGGTGAAGTATGGGCAGGGATATGGGGAAAAAATAACCAAGAATTCTCTTGCCTCAGCCTCCCGAGGTTATAGACGTGTGCCACCACACCCAGCCCATCTTTATAACTGCAAATTCATGGGCACAAGCAGTGTCTGAGTATTTTTTAAAAAGTGAGGTAGGAGTCATAACACAGAACATGTAAAGCATATGATCCAGTGGTACTTTTATACTTTTGCAGTGTTGCACAATCATCATCACCTCTGTCTAATTCCAAAACATTTCCATGGCTCCAGGAAGAAGCCTTGTACCCATTTAGCAGCCACTCCCCCTTTATTCCCCTTCACCTGGGCATTGAAAAACCCATCTGGGCGACACCCTTATCAGGGAGCACTGGAACACCTGAAGCTCCTCCACTGAGGGCAAGAGGCACCCACACCTATCCCGGGGCAGGAAGGGGTGCAGCCAGCTACTCCTTCATGATGTGGGGGGTGTAGTTGGGTTTGATAGCTTCAGCGAGCTCCCGAGCGTACATCTCATATCTGCCCGTCATCTGAAAACAAAACACAGGTGGACTTTGGAGATTCCTGTTTTAGAATCACCTGTCACTTTCTCAGCACCACCTCCTGCCACTAGGGGGCAGCCACGGGACAGGAATGCACAGGCTAGGCTGGTTGACAGATCAATTTCAGACTATGTGAGCACTGGCTGGGCACTGATTCCAGCAGGGTTCAGAGATGCCAAGACGGCTCACACAGCCCAGCCCAGCTTGATGTGACCTCTGACACATGTCCATATACCCCAGAGATGCGGTGGGATGTCCTGCAGTCCTGCTGCAGCCTCCTCCAGAGAGGAAGGCTGGGGACTTGAACCTGGGTTTCCTGGCCAAATCTGACGTCTGTCTGCTCCCTATGGCACGTCACGTACACAGGGCCTGGAGAGTGGGGGGCTGGAAAGCCCAGTGGGTTGCTCATGTCTTTCCCTCCTTCCAAAAGCCTCAGCCTGAGCTCATGCCCACTGCCACAGCTGGGAAGGCCTCTGCTCCAAGACAGTGTCACTCTACTTATTGTCCCCGGTGAGACTCGTTAAAAGTGCTGCCTAGCGTTCTCGGCTGTAACTTCTGACTTCAGTGGAATCCTGCACTGGTACGAGCTGCTCAAGAGGAGCGACATGGGGGAAGACTTTCTGCTTCTCTGACAAGGACTGGACACTGGGAGATGTGATCCAGGACCTATGCTCAGGCAAGTGGGGAAGCGAAGGCTCTTCATACTGGGCAAAGGTGTTCGGTTATAAAGATGTGACATTCAGGGCTGGGGATCTGGCGCCGTGTTTCCGCCATCTGCCTCACAAGCACAAGGACCCTAGTTCGATCCCTGGTACCAAAGAAAAAGATGTGACGTTCACTGCTGTGTGGCTTGCTTATAAATAGGGCTCGTTTGGTGGACATACAGAGAGACACAATACAACAAATCCCACAGACACGAGCCCTTCCAGGCGGCCCATGCCAGGAAAGCAGGGACCCACACAGCTCTCAGACTCCTGATGTCGAGGGCCATTTGGTCTCAAAGGCAGCATGGAGCCTTCAAGTTAAGCCTCTTATTTTACAGGCCTGGGAGCAGAAGGCACTTGCTCAGGGTGATGGAGCAAGGCAGAGACAGAGCCAACTTGGATTCCATTTCTCTCAGTGACCCATTTCCCTCGACTGTCAAGGTCCAGACTGTGGAGTCTGGCCGCAGGCAGAACCAGACATGCACATTTATCTTGCAGTAAGTGCAAATGCCTGGAAAGGAAAAAGGATTAGAGAAGCCAATCCAATCTATTCTCTGGACAAATGAAATTGAGATTAATTTGTTTGAAGGTGCCTAGAATCTAAATCAGATGAGAGGAGAATTTATTGAAGCCTGCTGCTTGTCCACTGTCCAGCCCAACGGTTCCTCCCTACAGTCAGCAAGGAGGCAGGGATCAGCCGTCTGCTCACCACAGAACTCTCAGGTGGGGAGTGGGCACCTCCTGTAAGCCGTCTCTGAAGGCAAACCCCACGACTGTAGTTACCAGCCCTTTAGGAAGGATGCGAGACCAAAGTACAGCAGCAGGGGTATAGAAGACGACTCAGGCCTTACCTTGAAGTTCCAGACATCACTCATCTGCCGGCAGAGGTTGAGGTCGAGTTCAGTGACCAGCAGCCCATCCTGGTTACGGGAGAGCCCGGGAGTCCGGCTGCCATCAGGGGCCGCCACGTAGCTGGAGCCGTAAAAGTAGCCAAAGTCCCGGTGAGCTATAAGGAGCGGAGAGAAACAGGTTGTGAGTTGTGATAGACACAGTGTAGGCTCGGCAGGAAGGCAGAGCACAGCGAGACACTCAGGACAAGGTATCCACGCCACCCTCCCCTGTGCCTGCGAAATGCTGAGGCCCAAAGGGCTTGTCTTCCTTCCTTAGGCCCGAAGGCCCAGCAGGTAGTTGCAAAGGTCACCCTTGAATCACACCTCTCCGCTCCTGAGAAAATTTCTAAATGTCACCCATTAAAGATGTGGCTTTTCATTCTCAACATCAACCACACACACACCCCAAGGGAATCACAAAGCTGTGGGGGCTTCCTGTGTGACCTGCTTCCTGTGGTGGCCTCACTGAGTAAAGGGAAGCTGCTTATCTCCCACCTCCACACCTCAGGCCCCTGCCGGTCACAGGATGCTAAGAACCACCCTAGCGGCTCGGGAGGAGTAGGTGGGTGCAGGGCTGGGCCAGTCTAGCACAGGCCTAGATCCCGAGTTTCCTGCCAGGTCTGTACTTCCATGGCAAAGAAGTTAACTGGGACTGGAGAATCTGTAAATCCGGGGTGCAATCTGTGGCCTCATGGTGGGGATCTGGGACACTGGCAGGAAATGTTTTCTTGGGAAACAGATCTGCTCAGTATCCTCCATATTCCTGGGGCGGACAGCCCAAGTCAATTCAGCCGCCTCCTTGGTGAGAGGGGCACCCTTCCTTCTCACATCTCAGCCAGGGAGGTGGGAGCTGAGGGCGCAGGGCTCCCAGCAGAGGCGAGTCCTCTAATTAAAATAGGCTGCGAATCCCCAGAAACCCAGGGCAATCCATGCTAACTGAAAGGCGTTTGTACCTGGTGTGGGGGACGGGGGTGAGGGTTGAGAGGACCAAAGGAAAAGAGGAAGGGAGGTTTACAGGTTGCACAGGGCACTTCCCCTTTCAGAAGCTCACAAAGGGCTCCTTCAAATCCTCTCTGATCATCTTCTCACCCGTCCTGGGGAAGGGACTGAGTGCAATCCAATTCCCATTATATTCCCATTTGAGGAATGAAGTGGTCACAAGCCCAGGGCTGCCTGTCTGCGCCCAGCCAGTCAAACTCCAACACTATGAGCAGTAAAGCAGAGGGGCATTAGTGCCTCCTCCTAGGTTCCAGGCTTAGTCTGTGGGGCAAACTGCCCAGAGGAAACAGGTGGAGGAGGGAGATGAGGCCCACTGCCACCAAAATTCATGGAACATACCTCTCTTTCCATCTCCAGAGGTAAACTCGTTGGGGAAGCGTTCCTGTGAAGCAACAACAAGGTAAGAGGAACGTATAGGTGGTACCACTATGACATACATCGCAGATCACTGAGCCAGGCCGAGCACAGCCAGCTGACCCAGGCAGAGTCAACGGTTAAAGTGAAGGAAAACGTCTGTACTCATTGGGCAACCACTTGTTAAATGTCCCACGGAGCACCAGCGTTGGGCAGCCAGCAGGGAATTTAGCAAGCAAGGTAAAGACCTAGATTTTGCCTCTGAGGAGTTTCTAATCCGGGAAGACAAACACCAGGCACTGATCGATTCTCAAGGCTGTGGGAGGCTGGCTTGCCTGAAATAGTTAAGACCTCAGGCTGGGCTCTGAAAAAGCAAGAAGCGGGTAGGGAATCCTACACATCGGTTTTTAATGTTTTCCCCAAAGCTTGACGGGAACTACACATCGAGCTGGAACGTGGGTCGCAGAGGCCAATTAAAATACTAGGTTTTGCCTGGACACAGCGGTGCATGTCTGTAATCCCAGCACTGAGGGAGGCTGAAGCAGGAGGATCACAAATTCAAGACCCACCTGGGCAACTTAGGGCTGGGGACGTGGCTTAGTGGTAGAAGTGCCTGAGTTCAAGCCCCAGTACAGAAAAACAAACACCACCCCCCATGGCAAACACGAGCACTGGGTTTCCTTATGTTGCCAGAAATCAGGTAGAATTAGTGTGGAGACCTTGGTTCTCTCATACTGATCATATTCTGAGCGGAGTTTGACATTCAATTCGAAAGAACAAAGAAGAGAGTTATTATGCAACTAACTGCATTGTGTTTGGTAGTCAAAGCTCTTCCTCGTGTATGGGGTCAACAATAGGAGAAATTAAGAAACAGGACAGCAGGACACCATGCCTGCAATCCCAGCTTAACAGGAAGCTGAGGCAGAAGAGTTGTGAGTTTAAGGCCAGCCTGAGGAGGTAGGTAAGACCGTTTCATAAGCAAATTGAAAAGGGCTTAGGACGAAGCCCCGTGGAAGAGTGCTTGCCCAATCTGTACAAGGTCCTAGGTTTGGTCCCTAGTACCACGCAAAATAAACAAAAGTAAAATAAACAAACTGGATACTGGAAAGTGAGTGTGTGAAAACTGCTAAACCAAAGATTCTTACAGGATGGTTTTAGTGAAAGAACAGAAAAGTAACAGACCCAGTCAGTTTTTCCACTTCTGGGACCCTAGAATTTGTGGCACACGTGTACAAGGGACAAGGAGAAGACCGGTGGTCACGTGGTAATGTAACACGTCCCCCGGGGTCACCAGGTGGCCGTGGCTCACCTCAGGCAGACCTTGGGACTCACCTCGCCCACACGGTTAATGGCACAAGTGAAGCAGTGATTGGCAATTGCTGCGTTTCTGGCCTCGACTGGCCACAAGGACTCACTGTAAGAGAGCAGGAGGAGTCAGGTCGCCGGCTTTTCCAGCCGGACTCTGGATGCTCAGGCTGAGCTGCAGCTTCCCAGGCCACAGGTGGGGCCAGCCAGGGAGACTCATCGTACCCTTGGGTCACCTCCGGCCTGCAGGCAGATCTGCTTATCCTCAGCACCTGGCTTAACCCTAAGCAGCCTTCTGGGGAGGGCCCGCTGCAGGGGAGGCCATGTGGCTGTGGTCTATCAGAGCTGTCAGACGGCCTGGGATCAGATCCTCATCCTGAGCTCCTTCTAAACTCCCTCAGAAGGAAACTGTGAAGACTAAATAAATGATCAGGACGTGACGCTGCACACGGAGGCGCTCCTGTGAGGGATGAACACGTACCTTCTCTGCCCTACCCCACTAATTCTCCTACCCTGCTGGGCTATCGTGAAAAAAATACAAAGTTCCAAAGGGGAGAATTCAGGCAGAATAAACGAGAAAGAAATTTAGGTAATGGGGTGTGAGGGGTCACATTTCGCAGCAGAGTTGCCACCTCTGATCTGCATCCCAGGACCTTCCCATTTTCCCGCTCTGAACCTTATGTCTTCAAGCAGAGGCTCCCTTGTTCCGTTACTGGCTACCCCACAGGCACAGCTGAGTTGTGGGCCTTCCTCGGTCCAGAGCCACCAAAGGCAGAGTGCAGTGGGAGACCGCATCCCAACCAGAGACCCTGTCCATTCCAGCCCGTAGGGACTCTGGGCATTCTAGTCACTGCTTATGTTTCATCGGAGGAGTAACATCATTACGATTCCGGACTGGCAGAAACGATGCCCACTTAGAAACACTGAGGGACCGGGACCAAATGCCCTGGAATCTGCCTTCCTGTCTGCATGCACCTGGTTTAAACCATGGAGTAGGTGGAGGGGGTGTGTGCTTGTCACACACCTGATTCTCAGGAGGAGTCATGAGTCTGGAAAAGGATAAACGAAAAAAAAAAAAAATCAAGGGCTTGATTGAGGGGACTCATTTCGCTTTTTTTCCCCAAATGCTAAGCCAAGCTGACAAAACTTTAAAGAAAGGATTTTTACAGAAATACACCCGTAGATGACATTTTCAGGAATTAAATAGACACTTGCAGAGCAGTTGCCATAAAACATCTTTCTTGCAATTCTCCAGGGAGGTGTTTCTGTGTAGGACTCAAACCCACAGCTGGCAATAAAATGTATGCTCTCAAACCCACAAAGGGAAAGGAAGCCGGAGGTTCGTGAGAGTCCAGTGTGCGGGCTCTGATGGAGAGACAGGGACATTTACCATATTCCCAGTGTAATATACACAAATCCCTAAAAATAATGTACCAAGGGCATGGGACAGCGACTTTCTGATGAACAAAGCGGAAATATTCAGCTACTCAGGCTGTGCTGGGCACAGGATGACACAATGAATAAAAAAGCCCCTGCAGTCTAACTTGGGCTCGGAACTATGGGACACAAAGTTGAGCAAAGACACCCGGCCAGCCCACAGTGCGGCACACATGTGCCAGGTAGGGAGGGCAAAGACACCGGAGGAGGGACTGGGAGGAGGGTTCTGGAAGCTGTGACCCACCGTGGGGGTTTTTCCTGGCGCTGTGCCCAAAACACTATCAATTCTTCAAGTAATTCTTTTTTTTTAAAAATTGACCAAATCTCACCACCCCAATAAACCACCTGTTGTCACCTTTCCATACTCCACGACCATCTTTGCTCATGGTCCAAAATGTTTTATGGAGTTCTGACCACAGCCTAGATACATCTTTTTACGGCTTGTGGGCTTTTGTCATGATGCCTCATTATCTTCATAATGACTCTTCAGTGGCGATAACCCATGGAAAAGATGGGTTGAAATTTACTTCACCCTGACATTTCTCTTGTTGCCATAAACATCTTCACACAGACACACTTGTCCTCCTCTCTTACGTCACCTCCTTAGGCTACAGTTCTGGGAGTGTCATCATCTGGTTACAGGACACGAACAAGTTAGGAGTTCAACGAGACATGCCGCTTTCCTAAAGGCCTGCAACAGTTTTCACTGCCAGCCAGCCACGCCACACCCTTGAAGGCTGAAGCCTGGGCAATTCTTGGGTGAGGAAGGGAAGTCGATCACTGTTAATAAGCCTAACAGGCTGCCAGGACACAAGCGGTCATGTGCATATTATACTGGGGCACTTCTGTTTGCTTAATTGGGGCTTGTAAAAGCCTGAGATAGCAGGGGCAAGGAGAGCCGCGCGGGTGCAGTGGGTGATGTGGCTGCTTGCGTCTGTAGCCAGAAGCCAGTTCAGGCCCAGGTGCCCCAGGGGTTGGGCTTCAGGTTTCTCTACTGATCCTTGGAAGGAAGACAGAGCCACGAGAATGTCTTACAGATAAATGGTCAGAGTGAGACACTTGGGGGACTAAGGTTCTTCAGCAGCTGGATGACCAGTAATCACTTGGCCTCAGAACCACCAATGGACACCAATGGAACGGTGCGCAAGCCACCATGAGACCTTGGTATATCTGAGGGGAAACCCTAAGGAAGGCCCAAGGCCTTATTTATTTATTTTTTTACTTCTACCCAACACCACAGACAAGGCAGTGGACCTGAAGAAAGAGACTGAGGGTTACACTCTGACCTGATTAGGGACCTGCTACTCAAACTCAGAAGCACAGGGGATGCCACTCAGGAGAGAGGGGCACCAGGTATAAAAGAAAAGGTAAAATAAACATTACGTTCTGACATTTAGAAAGCAGAAGTTAGAAACAGACAACAGAGAACTCAGAGCTGCCCATCAGACCTCCCCCTCCACTGGCCCCCAACACTGGGCCTAGGCCTGATGGGACCTGACCACCCAGGACCGCAGAGAGTGGAAACCAGGACCTCTTGCTGCAGGCTTCCTGCTTTGGAGGAAGTGAGTTGGGGAGAAAAACGACAGCAAAAATTCCTAGAGTTCTGTGACTTGTAATGATGCAAAGCTGGAAACCACCCAAATGCTCAGGAAGGGGAAGAGTGAATCAGCAGAAGCACAGTCATGCCAGGGCTCTCTAAGCTTACTTGCTGCCCTTATCAGATGAGGGGCCCTGGGGTTCCTGCCCAGGAGCTGCCAGGTCCTCCTGCCCCCAGCACTGCCTCAAGCAGAGCAGTTTTCCGATACTGATGCCCAAACGCTTGTTGTTAGGTGTTACCAAGGAAACCATTTCACTGGCTAAATTTCCGGGATTGGCCTCTTAAGCATCCTCTGGGCTCCAACCCCTCACCTGCTCCTTGTCTCACCTGGATGTCTGTGTTCCCTGGATGGATGCTGCTGGCTCCATTGTAGGAATCGATAGGCCTTTTCCGGAAGCTAATGCTAGCCAGGTACCTACTACGGAGTAGGACATTCTGAATCCTATCATGCAGGAGGTGGGGTTACTATTTTCATTTCAGACTTCAGAATCACAGCAGAGTGAGCAATTCAGAGTCAAAGTAGGGTGAGCAGCTCCTCAGAGATCAGTTGTGTCGTCCTGAGAATTCTTTTCACTAACAAGTTGGTTAAATGAGCAACCTACAACCTCAGGGCCCAGATCTGATAGACATTCTGATAGCCACACCTGCCTGCTGCAGTTTATAAAACCCACCTCTGAACCCTGTATCATGATCTTGGGCCTGAACTGGTGTCTGGGCCCCCTGAAGCCCCCGGATCCCGCCCACTGAGTGACCTGAGTGCGCCAATGGTGGCCGAGGGGTTGAAGATGATCTCTGCTCCGTTGATGCTGTACATGAGCCAGTTGAGGGGGTGGTGCCGCCCATAACAAATGTTCACTGCAATCCTGCCAAACTGGGTCTGGAACACGGGGTGGCCCAGGTTTCCCTCCATGTAGTAAGTCGACTTAAAAAAAAAAAAACACACAAACAACAAAAGGCCATTATGTTGATGCTTCAGCACTGTAAGAATTTGTCTTTCCTTAGACTCAGAAGAAAACATGAAATAACACCAAGAGCCCAAAAGTAACACTCCTGGGTGTGACTCTAAACTGCAGAAATTTGAAAGTGTTAAAAAATACACATATACAAATCCAGACACAAAAGTAAACCAACTCCCAGGGGGAAGTCACTGTAGCTTTACGTATTCATCCATCATCTCCTTTGTGCTGAGTCAAAAATTGCCAGAGTGACTTTCCGTGATATTTCAAGAATGCACTATGGTAAGGTTTCAATCATGGCATAAGGCTGAGGACTGGCTCATGTTAACTTGAGTTACTCGAAGTCCTCAGCAAGCACATGTTCTTTTTCTGAATGCCAGAGCTGAAGAGACTCATATTCAACCAGAGCAACCCTCTAGAAAAAACTGTCACCTGATGGGATTGGGACTTGCCTACAGGGCAGCCAGGTGGGAACTCCATTCTCCCACCCCTGCCTCTCTGCCTGCCCAGCCCTGGAACTTTCATGAGGGCAGCACCGAGGGAACGGCAGAGGGCAAGTTGACTCCCAAACAGATCCGCTCCAGGAGCCTTTTTCCACTTCCTATTAATTTCAAAATCGATCAGGTTCAGGCAGCAACCCAGATGTGTGCATGTGGTTAGACAGTGGGGCAGGCCTGCTGCACTGAGACTAGCCCTGCCCTATCTGCAGAGAGCTAACGATTAATCCAAAGGTAAACAGCAAGGGCCATGTCTGTCTGCCCCCACCTCCACCTGTTTCTGAGCAACCTGGGTTCTTCTCTTGCCCAGGGAACCTCATCTAGCCCTATAGATGGTTTCTCGTTCTCCTCACCAGCCTGAGTATGACCCAGCCCTCATGATCAGAGAAAGAGGGAAAAGGACAGGTGATATCACAACCTGAATAACTGTACTTATTTGAAAATCAAGTTCAGGTTTAATATCTTAGGCATTAGGTGGAGTTCATTTCCCTCCTTTAAACATCCACTCCCTCCGTCTCCCCTACCTATGAATTGGCATTAACCAGTCAAAGTAGCCTCCTGACTTATGCCCTGATCACAGGCATAAAAAGTCCCATATGATACACAGGTACACAGACAGGAACATTAACCTGACACACAAACATGGGCCAACTCAGACTGTGTACAGTGGCACACGCCTATAATCCCAGCACTCTGGGAGGCTGAGGCAGGAGGACGGCAAGTGTAAGCCCAGCCTGTGCAACTGAGTGAGACCCTGTCTCAAAAAATTAAAAAATGTGAAAACATCTGGGGATGTACCTCAGTACAAAGCCCTGGATTCATATCCCAGCACTACAGAAACAAAACAAAACAAACAAAAAATAGGTATGTAAGTTATGAACAAGGAATGCTACCTCCCCAAAATGGGATTGGTCATGGTCAGCTAGGAGGTCAGAGTTTGAAGGAGCTGAAGGAATCATTTCACATTTCTCCACTATTTATTTTGGTTTTAATTTATGTTCTACTTCCTTCAAAGGAGAATTTCTAAAAAACCAAATAAGGTTACAGTAAAAGAAAAACAACAACAACAACAACAAAAACCCTCCATATAAGAAAAGACCTTCTGTGCTAAAATGTTGGGGACTCAGCCGAGTGCCACATGAATCCCACCTTCACCACAGCCACATGCTGCAGCCTCACACTAGGTGGCATTCTCCCACACGGAACTTACCCCACTGAAGGGCCCGGGGAGACCTGTACACAGAAGGGGGACAAGCAAGCTGGGCCGGTCACCCAAGGGGCAGCTCACCTCGTTGAAATCGCCCACTCTGGGGATGTGGTTCTTCCTGGTCTTGCCCAGGATTGCTCCAGAATTGGAGATCACCACAGCTGTATTCCACAGAACATCCCCGTGATCTCTGTCTCGTTCCAGGATGGGGGATATCACCACCATGTCATGCTTCTTCGCCAGCTGGAAAATGAATTTCACAGTGTTCCACATTCAAATCAATTGTACCTTTTCAGTGCATTTAATGAGCCTACTAAACAATGAGGCTTGGTTCAGAGCTATCACTTGGAGCAGATCTTATTAGGAATACTAAATGCCAGTGCTGTCTTGATGGCCATGATGGTCATCATCTGTGAGCTGCTGATGAGACTATACAATGGTGTGGCCACTGTGAAAAACCTTATGAAGGTTCCTCAAAAAATTAAACACAGAATCACACAATCTCACTTTTGGGTATATAACTAAAAGAGCTAAAGGCAGGAACTTGAAGAGATGGTTCTGCTGGGCATGGTGGTGCACACATGTGATCCCAGCACTCAGAAGGCTGAGGCAGGAGGATTGCCATGAGTTTGAGACCAGCCTGGCTACACAGTAAGGTCAAGGGCCAGCCCAAACTATATAGTGAAACCCTGTCTTCAAAAAACCAAAGAAAGACCTCCAGCTCCCCCGGGCCTTCATCAGAACAGACCAGTGAGGACTGCCCAGCCGCATGGGGAGCTTGCTGCTCCCCCACCTCCAGCACCCTGGGCCATCAATGGAGCAGACCAGTGAGGGCTTCCCAGCCAACACGAAGAGCTAAGCTGTTTTCTGCACTTGCTGCCCACATTGTCTATTGTGATAGCAGAGCTATACCATAAAGGAGGCCCTTCAAATTTTTTTCTTTTTCCTCTTATTTTTAATTTTAATTTTAAAAATTTTATTTTTCCCATTCTTTAAATTCTTCCTTTTCTCTTTCTTTTTCCCACTCAGTCTCTTGCTCCCCCACACTGTTCTTCATCTCCCTTTTTGTTCCTGTTATGCCCTAATTTGGATTTTTCTTTTCTTCTCGCTTTTTCCTGCACTTGACTGTCATTAGTTTCAAAGGAAAGTGAATATAACTTATAATTTCCCTATTACTGTTAAGCTGTTCTATTCTTGTCTGTGTTCTTGCACTCTGTCTTTCCCTCTTGTCTTCAACAGTTTCCTAGAGTTTGCATGATCATCCTGTGTCCTCTGGCTTCACTTGAAACCTCCTATCCTTCTACCTATCTATTCCCCTCCTTTCGAAGTCCCCATCCTGAGGGGTAAAGTTATGATATTAAAGAGTTTATTCATGATAAACACATTTTGGGTTGGTCCTTGATTATGATTTAATTCACATGGTTAAAGGTGATAGATTAATAACTACCACAAATGGTCAATTTCTAAGCTGTTCTTGATGTTATTGTGTTGCTGATTGTATCAATTGGGCTAAAGGGTTGTGACTGATTTAATGAGTTGTTCTTCCTGATATGAAAATGAGAGTGTCTCTGAGTCATTAGAGACTCAAAACCTAAAGAGCAGCTATATCAGGAAGATCAAAGTACTAACCCAGGACAGTGATAGCCCAACAACAAAAATAAAAATGAGAAAACACTTAAGCAAGGCACAAATATAGACTTCCAGTTCACCAATGGCAAATTCTAGGGGAAACAAGGTGGAAAAGTCTGACAATCAACCAACCACCAGGATACCCTGAACTCAGCACAGGAAGTAACAAAACAGATAAACAGGCTCTAGAAAAATTCAAAACAGAAATAATTTCCCAGATAACTACAGAGATGGTAAGCACAATGAAAGACATGATTGACTCTAGAACTAAAAAAAAAAAAAAAAAAAAAAAAAAAAAAAAAAAAAAAAAAAAGGAGTTCAGGACCATGATAGAAGACATAAATGCCCAACATAGGAAAGAAATGGAATCCATGAAACAGATTCAAACATCAGGATATCCAGGAGATTAAAAACTCTATAGAAAGCATTCACAGCAGAATGAATGAATGTGAAAATAGATTTTCAGCTATAGAAGATAGGACTGCAGTCAGTGACCATGAAAAAAGACAGATCTCTTAAAAACTGTAAGGGATCATGAGAAATCGATCTAACAACTGCTTGATGATGCTAAGAAGAATATAAGACTGATAGGAACCCATGAAGTAACAGGATAAAGTACAAATGACTTAAAAAGAAGCTGTTCACAGAATGACAGAAAACTTCCCAGAGGAGAAGAATTTGACATACAGATAAGTGAGGCATATAGGACTCAACTAGCCAAGATTTAAAAACCAAAAAAACAAAAAAACAAACAAACAAAAAACTACACCAAGGCTTACAATAGTCAAGATCCTGGAAACCCAACAGAAAAAACAAAATATTGCAAGCAGTTACAATAAAGAAACAAATCACATGCAAAGGGAAGTCCATTAGAATCACAGCAGACTTTTCAACACAAACACTCAGGTCAAGGAGAGCCTGGAGTGAGGTATTTCAAGCTCTAAAAGAAAACAGCCTCCAACCTAGACTGATGTATCCTGCAAAACTCTTTTAAAATGGATGGAAAAATAAGATACTTCCATGACAAAGAACACCTGAGAAACTTTATGAATACCAAAGCAGCACTCCAAAAATTCTAAACAATATCCTAGAAAAAGACAATGAAGGTCACAACACCATGAGGCCCAACAGAGCAAAGCAATCAGGCAAGGCAAGAAACTAAAGGGAGAGGGGGAAAATTAAAAAGAGCCAACAACAGGACAGTAACATGACAATGATAAATCAATACATATCAGTTAAAAGCCCAAATCAGTTAATGGCCTCAATTCACCAATCAAAAGAAATGGACTGGCATAATGGATTAAGAAGCAAAATCCAACAACATGTTGTATACAAGAAACACACCTAGTTCAAAAAGAAACTCAGAGACTGAAAGTAAAAAGATGGGAAACAGTTCTCCATGCAGCAGGAGCCCAGAAAAAAGCAGGGGTAGCTATCTAATTCACAAACAACATAAATTTCAAACCAAAACTAATTAAGAGAGACAAGAAGACCACTACATCCTTGTAAAGGGAACAATCCAAGAGGGAGAGATGACGATCATAAATATATATACACCAAACATTAATGCCCCCAACTATATAAAAAATATTAAGGGGCATGAAAAACCAAATAAGCACTAATAAAATTGTAGTGGGGGACTTAAATAACCCACTATCACAAATAGACAGATCATCTAGACAAAAAAAAAATCAACAAGATACTAGAACTGAGCCAAGCTTTTGAATAAATGGACTTAATAGATGTCTACAGAGTGTTCCACCCCACAAAATCACAATATACATTCTTTTTGGCTGCACGTGGTTCATTCTCCAAAATAGACCACATATTAGTTCATAGAAAATGTTTAAATAAATGCAAAGGAAATGAAGTTATTCCATGTATATTATCAGACCATAGTGCAATTAAGCTGGAGATCAATAGCATAAGAAACTGGAAGAAATTCACAAACACATGGAAATTGAACAACACTCTCTTGAACAGTCAATGGGTCACAGAGGAAACTAAAGAAACTAGTCAGGTTTTATAAATAAATGATAATGCCAATACAACATACTGGAATCTATGAGACACCATGAAAGCAGTTCTACCTGGACAATTCATAGCAGTGAATGCCCACACTAGGAAAACAGAGTGAGCTCAAATAAACAACCTAATGCTGAATCTTAAGCGCCTAGAAAAAAAAGAGCAAGGAAAGCCCAAAACTCATACAAGGGAGGAAATTATAAAGAGCAGAAATCAATGCAATGGAAACTAAGACAATGATACAAAAAAAAATGATGAATCAAAGAATTGGTTTTTCAAAAGAATAAACAAAGTTGATAAACCCTTAGCCAACCTTGTCAAAAAAAAGGAAAGAAAAGGCTCAGATCCATGCAATTAGGAAAGAAAAAGGTGAAGTCACAAGAGATCCAGCAGAAACCCAGAGGATCATCAATGCCCACTTCGAGAACCTGTATTCTAATAAAATGGAAAACACAGAAGAAATGGACAGATTTCTAGATACTTATGAATTACCAAAGTTGAATGAAGAAAATAAAAAAAAATCTAAAATAAAGAACTCAAAAAAATCAGGCACCTCAGATATAAAGACCCAATTCAAAAATGGGCATCTGAAATGAGCAGACATTTCTCAGAAAGGAAATAAAAGCAGCAAATAAATATATGAAAAAAATGTTCAACATCACTGGTCATTTGAGAGATGCAGATGAAAACAACACTGAGATTCCACCTCACCCCAGAAAGAATGGCTGCTATCAAGAAATCAACCAATAACAAATGCTAACGGGGTTGTGGGGAGAAAGGAACCCTTCTCCATTGTTGGTGGGAGTGCAGACCAGTGCATCCACTGTGGAAATCAATATGGAGACACCTCAAAGAACTAGGATTAGAGGTTTCCTTTGACCAAGCTAGCCCTCTGCTGCATATCTTTCCAAAAGAATTAAAGGAATCATACCACAGAGATATATGCACACCCACAGTGGCACAGTTTGTAATAGCTAAAACTTGGAAACAGCCCAATTGTTCATTACTGGGATAAAGAAGGGGTGATTTTTCTATAAAATGGAATACTACTCAGCCATAAAGAATGAGAAACTAAACCGGGTGTAATGATGCATTCCTGTAATCCCAGCACCCGGGAGGCTGAGGCAGGAGGATTGCTGTGAGTTTGAAATCCAGCCTGGGCTACATAGTGAGTTCCAGGTCAGTCTCAACTACATAGTGAGACCCTGTCTCAAAACAAACAAACAAAACAACAACAACAAAAAACAACAAAGAAGAAACTAGAGTCATTCATAGGAAAATGGATGTATATTGAGGCCATATTCGTAAGTGAAATAAATAGGATATGCACGTGTAAATACCGAATAGTTTCTCTGTTGTGAAAACCTAAAAGTGTAAGTAAGATCCAAACTGTATAAATGATAATGTGAAATAGGAAGAAAAAGGCTAAAGGTGTAGGGGAAGTGGGAAGGGTAGGGGAAAGGAAATAGGGAAAAGAAAAAACATGAGAAAAGGAAAAAAATGGAAATAAAGTCTTTGTAAATAGAGGAGGGTGGAGGGGGTGAAAGGATGGCAGAGGAATGGGGAAAATGAGAACCAAATTCTGTCATGCAAAGTTACAAGATCCAAATGATAAATGTAACTGTACTGTATACTTAAAAAGTACCAATAAACTCAATTTAAAAAGACACCTATCAAAATACACCATATTATAACTTAGATATATAAAATGTCTTATATAATCCATAAACTTTACCATTAGGAGGGTGGAGGGGGTAAAGGGAGGGCGGGGGTATAGGAAAAAATGAGAACCAAGATGTGTCATGTAAAGGTATAAGATTCCTATGATGAATGTAACTGTACTGTATACTAAAAAGTACCAATAAACTCAGTGGAAAAAAAAAGCATTTTGCTTCTCATCTACACAAAACAAAAGAACCAGTTCTTTGGTACTTAATCTGTTTTATGATGCCATAACAGGATACCAGAGACTGGGAAATTTATAAAGAACAGAGATTTCTTGTAGTTCTAGAAGCTGAGAAGTCCACCATCCAGGAGCCAGCATTTGGTGAGGTTCTCTATGCTGTGTCATCCCATGGCCCAAGATGGAAGGACAAGAGAGGGAGTCAAACTCCCTCAAGAGGGAGCCACTCTTGAAATAACAGGCCTCGCTCCCCTCGGGAGGCGACTGAATCACCTCTAAAGGTCCTATCTCAATGCCTGCATTAGGTATTAAGTTTCTAGCGATTGAACTTTGGGGACACATTCAAGCCCCAGAAGGCCCTAAATTCCTTTTGCATCAAGTAAGAACCATAAGGATAAACAGTTCCAGCTCCCATTTGCTCTCAAGTCTCATCAGTTCTCCCTTACCGCCGGCCTTGCTGACAGCAGAGAAGGGAAGGCACCCTCGGAAGGCAACACTTGGGGTGGTGCTATGGGCAGCCGCTTGATGCTGACAGGTGCCCTCGGCACCAGGTCTCATTCACACCCTCTCCCAACCCTGGTTCAGGGTCACCAGTAGCGCTAGCCTCCTTCATACAGCAGCAACCCGATGAATACTTTGTTTCCCCATAGCTTAAGAATACAGATATTTAGGATCCCAACTAAGTATCAGTAAAGTCACTGTGATTATAGCTCTGCTTCCCCAGACCCTAAGTATATGATGTATGAAGTCTAAAAGAACACAGAGGAAATCAAAGGAGTTTTGTTAGAGATGAGAAAAAGGATAGGCTATCCATTCCCTCTTTGAATGGGGTTGTCCGATAACAGCCCAATTAATCCATGCAGCCTCGAATTCTGCCTCTCTCTCGTTGGCAGTGCTGGGGATCGAACCCAGGGCCTCATTCATGTGTGACAGGCTAGTGTTTCACCCGGAAGTGTACCGCCAGCTCCCAAACTCTTTTCAAATTCAATGTTTTTCACATTCACAGAGATCTGCAACCATCGCCACAATCTAATTTTAGAACAATTTTCATCATCCCAAACGGAAACCTTGTACCTATTAACAGTCACCCCTTCCCTCAGCCGCTGCAACCATGAATTTGCTTTCTGTCCCTAGAGATTAGCCTGTTCTGGACAGTTCGTATAAATGGGGTCCTATCATGTGTATTCTGAAGCTTTAATAAAGAAAAATCAAACCCAATCTCTATGCCGATGAGGCAGTGAGTCAAGGGAGCGGCAAGTGCAGCATGCGAAGCTGTGGACTAGGAATCAATGTCCCTGCTCCTCGAGAGCTAGTTTTGTCACTCACCAGCCTCGGCACAAAGTCACCCCCGAGCCACCTCTCCCCAGCCCATAGTTCCTTTACCTGGAAGAGTCACGAAGGGCTCCTCAGGGTCGGAAAGTCTATGACTTAAGTAAAAGTACACCAAAAAAAAAAAAAAAGAAAGAAAGAAAGGCAAATACGTGTACTTAATCTTACTCGATAAAACAAGCATCCAACAAGTACATTTCCCATAGTCAAGGGCCACCCTCGGATGGCTTTGGCTGTGTCCTGAAGCCTGTGCAGGTTCGGCAGCGGCAGTCAGAGAGGCGGTTGATTTCTTACCTTCTGACACAATCTGGTGGTAATGCCATCCTCTGCTGACTCAGCGAACTCTGTCCAAGGGAGCTTCTCTCTCGTGCAGAAAGCAAAGGGCATAGCTGTAAAGAGAAGCAAGGTCGGGGCCGGGGATTTAGCTCAGCGGTTCAGTGGCCTGCTTCGCCAGCGCAAGGACCCGAGTTCGATCCCCAGTACCAAAAAAAAAAAAAAAAAACAAAAAAAACAAAACAAGAGAGAGAAGAAAGGTCATAGTCTCACTACACACAGCCCGAGGGGTGCTCTTTGACTCAGCAGCAGGAAGTCACGGGGTGGTGGGGGAGACTCTCTTCTCCCCAGGGAGTCATCTTCCGAAATAAGAAAAGGCACTCACTGAATGATCCCACTAGGAGTCTAGCCACTGGTCCACTGGATGCGGCCAACGGTCCATGCACTATTATTCTCAGGATTTCTTGCCAGTGCCTACTAGATGGCTAATTCAATAGGAAACGTCATAAGCCTACCAGGTCTTTTTGCTTTTGGGTTGGAGTGTGTGTATATGTATGTTTGGTGTTACTGTTTCTTTGTAGTGCTGGTGATTGAACCCAGGACTTGTAGGCCAACTCAGCATACTTTTTAGCTCCACTCCCTCGCACGAACCCAAGTCCATTTCTTTCAGAGAGATTAACCTAATGGCAGTTTCTAGATGTTTGCTATGGTTCCACTGGCTCTGAACTGGCCATCTCGCAAGAAGTGTTCACAGGAGTCTTCATGATGTGGCTGGAGGGTGTTTAACTGTCCTTGGCATGGGGGTTGTGCCTATTTAGGAGAAATAACGACAGCCAGTATCTCCCAGACATGGTTTTGGTGTGGCAACGCGCCACGAAACAGTTGTGATTCTCACTTCAGAGAAACAAGAGAAGACTCAGCTTCCTAATTCCTTCTGGTCTCATGAAGCCTGGACCTAAGACCGTGTCAGAGTGAGCACATCACCAACGGCATAGCCAGGCTCTCAGCCACCCAAGCAAGTTACAGGTGCTGCCAGCAACAGCCCCCAGGGCTTTAGCACCAGGCTCAAGGGTCCTTTGGGCCCTTGTGGTGAAGATGAACTATTTTAAGGAAGACAACAAAAATCTGTTGATAACAAAAATGTTCCTTAATGGCCATTAATTCTCAGCTTTTAGAGCATTAGGGATGACTCAAGTGCCCCCAGAGAATAAAATCTACCATGATGATTTCATTACAAGTTGATAAGGGTCCAAATTTCTGTTTCCATTTTAATAGGTTCTTTTCCGGCTTACACAAATACTCTAACATAAACTTTCAAAAGGAGAGTGTGGAGTGGAGGTTAGAGGGAGGCCAGGAACTTCCAACTGGTGGGGAAGGGGTTCCTATATTCATAGACCCAACATGGTGTCAGGCTCTTGATTTAGAATTGGCCTTGGGCCGGGGATTTAGCTTAGTGGTTCTGCTGCCTGCCTTGCAAGCACAAGGACCCGAGTTCAATCCCCAGTGCCAACAAAACAAAACAAAACAGAACTGGCCTTGCTCTTGGGAACTCCCAAGAGTGAAAAAGGCAAATTATGACCTAGGATGTTTATCCCGGCAGGACAGAGTGCTCAGCTATGCCTGGGGGAGTCCCCAGAGCCCCACCAAGAAGGGGGTGTCCACATTTGATAAATGAGCAGGAGTTCCAGGCTAACAAAGGGCAGGAGTTGGTTAAGCTGTACGATAAGTATCTTTAGTGCCTGTCATGCACCAGGGGTTGTAGTAGCTATGACAGGTAGCATGGGGTGGGTAGTGATGGGCAAAAAAACCCAAAAAACCAAACCAACAAATTAACATAGGCACTGGCCTCCTAGAGTTTATAGTTTAATGGAGGCAGCAGACCAATGAAAAGTCCACAAACAAGAGTGAAAGAACAAACATGACAGGAAATGGGAAAGACAACACAAACATCACTATTCTAGACCCTTATCATCTTTCCTGTCTTGGCAAGAAGGTAAAAGGATCTTTTCTGAGGAACTGGACCAATCTGAAGGGAATGATTCAGAGACACGAATATCAGGCTTACCATAAATCCAATCCTCCTGGAATGGAGCTCAGTGAATGAACCCTTTCCACAAACGCAGAGTTCACAGTCAGCTTTTTAATCCCCAACTCTTCAAATATAAGCAAATACTCTCACACACAAAAAAAATCAAAGTGAAGTAGGGATTACAAAAGGAACAAAATTTTACTTAACATTAGTATCTTTAGAGATGAGAGAAGATATTGCAACAATGATACAAAATATGATAAAACAGGGACCCTTGGCAAAAGAATGCTTGTCAGTTCAGAACACGGTAGCAGAAATGAAAGGAGAAATAGAAGGCTTGAATGATGAATTAGAAGAAATTGAATAAGACAAAAAGATATAGGAGGAAATGCGTAAGAAAATTAGGGAAATAGTCCAGGGTTCCAACATCCTAGCAGTAGAACATTCAGGAAGAGAGGAAGGAAAAAAGAGATTAAGGTGAAATAAAAATTGTAGGAGGGCACTGTTTTGAACTAAGCTCCTGTACTGGGCCCCAACAGAGAAGACTAAAAATCAAGGCAATATCACCCATGCTAAAGTTCTGTGTTATCAAACAGAAAAGTAGTTATCTGACCTCGGGAAAGAGAAAAGATAACCCAATTTCCCAAACAGGTCAGTTTCAACTAGCATGATAATGTCATTGCCTGTGTTTTAATACTTACCAAAGAAGTAACCTAATGTCAATCACTTATTTTGCTAATGTCCTGTCTCCCTGGTCCCACTTTACAAGGAAGGAAACTTTGAAAACAACCAATCCTCTCTTTGTCCTGTTTCTACTTTGTTCAGTCTTTCTCAGTCTTTGAAGCCAGTCTCTTCTGCTCGGCTCCCTAGAACTTTTACTGTATAAAAAAAAGTGAGCCTGATTCTAGAAATCACAAACAAAGCTAATTAAAACTCAAACTAATTTTAACTTTGTCTTTTGATGGAGAAAATAACTAATGAAATAAAACAAGGAAATCTAGATCTACAAGACCTGTTTCTAGACTGAAAGAATCGATGGTGTGAGCTAAATAACAGGTTAGAATGAGGTGCGCCCAGTAGGACATCAGTATGAAATTGCAGCATATCTGCAGAAACAGAAGATTCTATAAACTTCTGGGGAAAAGCAAATCACAAAACAATGGATCATAAATCAAAATGATCTGGGGCTAACCAATAACTCAAAGCTAGAAGATCATAGGGCAGTAAGTTCAAATTTCTGAAGGAAAATGGTATCTAAACAAGAATTTGATAGGGCCGGTGATTTAGCTCAGTGGTTCTGCAGCCTGCCTCGCAAGCACAAGGTCTGGAGTTCGATCCCCCCGTACCAACACAAACAAGCAAGAATTTGATACCAATCCAAATCACCAAGCAAGCTGTAGAGATACATATTATCAGATGCACAAGGTCTCAAAGTATTTACCCCCTAAGGGAGTCAACCCAGAAAGGAAGGGAAAGAACCTGGAGGATGATGGTCAAGGGAGACCCTGGATGACCACTGGGTGGCCAGCAGAGGGGGCGACTAATCCAGACAGGCACGGTGAGAAGGTTCTGGGGCAGGTTGCTTCGAGGAGATGGAACTAACCGCCTGAAGTGTCTGAACAGGTTAAGGGACTGACCGGAAGTATAGGGTCGGACTAGTGGCAAGTATGTAGAAAACAAAGCAACCTGTAGGAAAAACAGAAAATGACTCAAGAAGAGAAATCAACATTGACAAAATGGCTTGGAAGAGACTGGATGTGGACAGAACAAGAACGAATGTGTGGAAAAGGGGCATAAGGTGCCAAACGACGAACACTGACTTCTTTCATGATGAGAAGTCAACACGCGATACAAAAAACATTAGGAAGCAGCAACAGAAACAAAGGTGAATTCCAGCTAGATGTAAGGATTGGGCCTCTATAATCCCAGCAGCTCGGTAGGCTGAGGCAGGAGGAAAGCAAGTTCAAGGCCAACTGTGCAGCTCAGTGAGACCTTGCCTCAAAATAAATACATAAATAAACAAACAAACAAATAAATCATTAAAAGAGGCTGGGAATGTAGCTTAGTGTAAAGCGTCTGGGTTCCATCCCCAGTACCACAAAGGGGGGAAAAAAAAAGTAAACTCCAAGGGAATCAGTTAAGTGTTGAAAGAGACTGCCTCTTGCCAAAACAGATACTCTGCTTAACAGACCTCGTAGATTGATATTGATTCTAAATCATGAGCACATATAACCTTGATAAAAACTGTAAAACAACACATAACATAAAGAAAAAGTATGTGGGACCAGGAAGATGTATAACAGGGGACTCAACTGTAGATAGGGAGGTTGGGGAGCCGGTCCTGAGCTGAGGTCTGAAGTGAAGTTGGGATAGGAGGGCAAAGCAAAGGGTGTCAAGAGACAAGGCAGGGGGGCCGGGGATCTTGCTCGGTGGTGCCGCTGCCTGTCTCCCAAACGCAAGGTCCGGAGTTCAATACCCAGCACCAGAAAAAAGAAAGATGAGGTAGAGGGATTAGAAAGGCTGAGAAGGGCTGGCGGGTGTAGCTTAGCAGCAGAGCACGAGCTCAGCGCACACAGGCCCTGGGTTTGATCTCCAGAGACTGCTGGTGGCTTAGACCAGGGCAGTGATACAGAGAACGGGAGGTGTGAGATGGATTCAGAAAGATGGGGGAGGCAGAATCAGAAGGACGGAATGACAGTGGGATGGCAAAAGGGAAGCGGGCCAGGGTTCTTGGTGGTGTTGACAAATCGCCTTCTATGGATGAGAAAGGAAAGGAAAACTACTTTCAAACTGGGTAGCAGACACTCTGGGCGAGGTGGAGGTAAGACACAATTGTTAGAAGGTGGCTGAGAAACGCTACAAAAGAGAGACTTACTCCACGCTTCTTGGAAACAGATGATGTTGACTCCGCACATTGCTGCCACCTCGACAATGGCCTCTATGCGTCTGTGGAGGGCAGAGACCTGATGATTGAACGGTGAGGATCAGAACCCATGCACTTCTCCTGGTGAGGCAATTTTAAGTTCATCCCAGTGTACACAGAACAAACTTCCGCCCGACCAGGTGTGAGTAGGCCGGAGAGGTTCTGATATCCGGTTCTCTCATCAGACCAAACTCTGCGAGACTAGCTAGAGGCACAGGAGCCCTGGGTGCCCAGAGAGCCCTGGACACTGCCTCCAGTTCCTTACCTGGCAACAGGGAAGCTACTGCCTGCCTAGCGGGGTTGCTGAGGTGTGGAGGAGGATGGTTCCGCTTGCTGGACACAGGGTGCCCCAGCACCCGCACACAGACAACAGCCCAAAACCAGCTACTCCCTCTGCCTGGCACGGTCCACTTAGCACCGTCCTGCATTTGAGGTGTTAGGCTTGCCTTGTGTGGCCTCTTCCACCTCTGGGGTGAATCTTATGTCAATAAATCATCTTTTTGGCTCTTAATCTTCATGTTTCGGAGTGTGGCCTTGGGCAGGAATGTGCTTTTCCCCACATCCTGTGTTCCTGGAGGTGTCATCTGTGTTTTATGCCCCCAGCCACCTTCGGCTGTCCCTGCAGGGCACTGTTCCCTCTGTGCCTCTGCTGGTTCTTTGCTGTCTGGCACTCTCAGGACCCCACAGGCTCCCGGGGTACAGAAAGGAGGCACACTTATCTCTATTTCCTCGGCACCAAGTCTGGCTCCCAGGAGACATTCAGAAGTGTTTGTTCGAAGGCAGAAAAAAGGAATCAGGCTTAAAACCCAGAGGGAGGACAAACTCTCTCCAGTGCTCTTCCCCTGAGAGGCCGGGTACCCCAGGCTCCACGGAAATTTCCTGCCAGCATCAGCCCAAGTCGGCAATGTGCAGTGTATTGCTAGGTGCTGGGTGTGGGGGAGAAATGACAGCTCTGAGGCTACAGCCTGGCCATCTTGAATGACAGAGGGGCACGTCCACAATTCCAGAGACCACAGTAAACAGAACCAGACACCTTTAGAGGGGTGGGTGAGTGGGGATGTTGGGTATCGAACTCAGAGTCTCACACATGCCTGCCACTGAGCTACATCCCCACGCCCCAGACAAATTTTAGTCCAACAGAAGCAAAGGAAGGAGCAAAGGGAATGATGGTGGAGAACCCGATCTGGAATCCAAGCCACCTTAGCTTTCTCCAGAACCCCTCCCTGATAAGTCTCCAGCATTCGGAGGAAAGCTGTACAGAAAGCCATCGAACTTCGAGGAGCTGGAGGAAGGCAATGAAGGCGAAAATAGAACGAACGCTGTACACGTGACACACTCTACTCCGTGACACGCTGCTGCAGAGAAGTACAAAGGGACCGTCCCATCTATTTACTAACTGTAGTGGATGCCTGTCATATTCCTGTAAACCTGAAGGCACCATCAGCTGATGGTATGAGTCCCTGCCCTCAGGATTAAGGCAGAGGCACACAGGACAGTCCTGTCCACGCAGGCAGCCTCCTGGCAGGCAGCTGAAGAGGCAGCGTCCCGTGCCCAGAGCTCGAGTCGGACAAAGGGCGCTCTGCTGGTTGGTAAATGGAACTCTGGATTAACTGTGTGATGGGAATTTGGAAGGGAGGGCTGAAGAGATTTGGGATTGTAGCTCAGTGGTACAGTGCTTACCTATCATGCACAGGACTCAGGGCTCAATCACCAATAAGGCCTCTCCCACAAAGAAAAGTACGTTTAGCCAGGCTCATGTTCCTAATCCCGGCATCGAAGAGGCCGAGGCAGGAGAATCACTGCGGGTTCGAGGCCAGCCTGGCCTGCACAGCAAGACCTTGCCTCAAAAAACCAAAACCACCAAATACAATAACAGCAACAAAACAGAAGAGGAATAAAAGAACCAAATGTGTAAGCTAGAGAGAAGTAGTAGGGAAGCCAGGGCAGAAGTATCTCGGTCGGTTGCCCGTTGAGGTGCCTGGGCCCGTGGACCTTGAACGAGTGGCCACTCAGGGACTGTGATGTGTTGAAAGCAAAGGCTGAGCCCGTTCCCCTTGCAAGTATCTATGGTCAAGAGGGGCTGTACCTGTTCCACCACGGGGGCTTCCGTGGGGAGGGGGATCTTGTTCTGCACCAGCCCTACTCGCACAAGCTGGGGGTGTCTCGTCTGCTCCTCCGCTGCCTCAAAGCCATGTCCCTGTAGCTCAAAATTGCCCTGGCAGGCAGCTTCAAAGGCTCTCCTGGGCAGATCGAGCGACCTAAATGGGCACGAAAGAGGAGGGAAGAGGATTTCGATGAGATTTGCTGCGTTTAAGACACACCCTCAGAACGATTCCCAGAACAACGGTAAAAAAAAATCCCCCTCATGCCCTTTGTAGTCATTTATTAAGTAGAGAGGTGGGGGCATCCCACTGCCCGAGTTAAAGGGGACAGGGGACAGGCGGGCTGGGCTGTGAGTGTGTACAACACTCAGCCCGGACTTTATCTGAGGTCAGCAGTCTTCGGGGAGGCGGCATGGTTAGGCCTGGCAGTGGAGGGGTGTGTGTGTGTGTGTGTGTGTATATGTGTGTGTGTGTGTGTACATGTCCAGTTGAGAGGTTGGTGTTTTGGAGTTAATAAACTCAGGGCAGGGATTAAAGTCTCAGCTGTGTACAGAGAAGAATCAGTTCCAAAAAATATTTCTGAAGTAGTATCAGAGAGCTACGTGGAGCGTAGTAAATGAGGTGGCTGTGATGACAGAGAGGGGCTTTGGAGAATGGAGATCAAAAACTGACAGCGTGAGGCAGACCCTGGGGCCACTCAGCTTTAAGGAAGTACAGCCTCAGGGCAGTGAGTCCCCACCTTGATGTGGTGTAGGTGCTCAGACCAAAGGCCCAAGTGCCCATCCGAGTTTGTGATTAATAAAGGCTAGCGGCTTATTTATAAAACCTCCTGCTAAAGAGACCATTGGTCAGGCAGCAAGACCTCCTGACACCTGCTGTGTGGGGGAACTGGGTAAAACTCCCAGAGACATGGTTCACGGCCCCAGGCCAGGAAGGGCTTACCATCTGAGGGGGAGAGGATTACGAAATACCCAGAGAACACATCAAAAATAACCTGACAGCCATTATCTAATAATAATATTTCTCTCCTACTTCAAATCACTTTCTTAAAGACATTTCTTTCAAAATCACAGCCCTGTCAGCCTAAGCCCCCTGCCACCGCCCCCCTGCCAGGTACTTTCCAAGTGATGGCCCTGACAGCTCCCCGTTCGGTTCCGCCCCTGACAATCAGCCTGCTTTTCAAATAGTCAAGGTTCCCTTCCCTCTGGCAGGTTAGAAATAGCAGCGGTGCCCACACCTCGCCTCCCTCCCTTCCTGCGCTGTGACTGCCTCAGACAGCCCTCCCACCCGCTGGCAGAAGGGCCCCTCTCACGGGACTCGGCCCAGGGCAAGTCCTCCCGGGTAGACGGTTACTAAGCTTTCCTGGAGCTCCAACCCGAGGATGCCCAGGCAGTCCAAGGAGAAACACGGGAAGGTTCTGTGTGTGCCTGCTTCCCAAGGGCTGGTGGGCGCAGGAGCCAGATGGCCCACTGGAAGCTGGCCCTTTTGTCTCAGTGCAGCAAAGGGTCAGGCAGGACAAGCACGGCTATAACCCTCACCGGGCAGGTTTCTCGCCAACCTCGCCTGGGCCCACAGCTGTTCTCTTTCTGTCTTTCCACCCTTCATCAGCCCCATTATTCTGCAATCTCGTCGACTTCCTCACCCTCTATCTATGCCTCGTGCTGCCTCCATCTTACTGGCCAAGCCGTGCACCCCTTCGGTCCCAGTTCCCCGCAGACCTCATTCTCCTAGACCTGAGGTGAGGCAAGCTAGGCTTTACTGTGATGAACCGAATGTCTCTCCCCACCTCCCAAATCACAGATGGAAACACTAAAGGGATGAGGTTCTTGGATAAGGTTAGGTTATGAGGATGGGGCCCTCATGCATGGGATTAATGCCCCTTTGAAAGCATGCTGCCAGCCAAGCGCAGTGGCTCATGCCTATAATCCCAGCACTGTAGGAGGCTGAGGCAGGAGGATTGCAGGCAGGTTTGAACCAGCTTGGGCAGCTTAGCAAGACCCTGTCTCATAATTTTAAAAGTTTAAAAGGGACGAGGGTATAGATCAGTGTGACGGCCCTGGGTCCCCCAAGAGTCTTGCTAGACAGGGTGGTGCATGCCAGTAATCCCAGATACTTGGGAGGCCTAGACAGGAGGATCACAAGCTTGAGGCCACATAAATAACTGTGGGCTGGGGATGTAGATCAGCGGTAGCACTCACCTAGCATGCCTGAAGCCCTGGCTTTAATCCTGGTACCACAAAAATAAACATATAATATATACACACAAATAAAATAAGAGAGGCCTGAAGGAGGTTGCTTGCTCTTGTACCACGTGTGAGGAGTCACCGGCTGTGAACTAGAAAATGGACCTTTGCTAGATACTGAATCTGCCAGTGCCTCACCGGATTATCTCAGTAGCACCTGACACCTTTTCCTGTCCCACTACTTACATGTAGCTACAAGCTACCTACACCTCCTTTAAGGCAACTGCTTTCTCTGACCCTTTTAACATCCAGGTTCTCCAGAATTCCATCTGGGCCTGTCTCACAACTATTTCTCCTCCACTGGGGGATGTCCAACTCCAGAACAGCTCCCCCAGCAGGCCCATCCCCACACTGCCAACAGCCACAGGAATCTCCACCTAGAGACATCCAAGGGTGTCTGTAGGGGGCTAAACTGCGTCCTCATTCTAATACAGCTATAAATGTGACCTTATTTGGAAAAAGGATCTCCACAGATTAATTAAGGTATGGACTTCAAGATAATGTTGGTGACAAGTATTTTTGTTTGTTTGAGACAGGGTCTCACTGTGTAGTTGAGACTGACCTGGAACTCACTATGTAGCCCAGGCTGGTCTCGAACTCACATCGATCTTCCTGCCTCAGCCTCCCGAGTGCTGGGACTATAGGCGTGCGCCACCAGGGCCGGCTGTGACAAGTATTCTTATAGGAGATACCCAGAGGAGAGACACAGGGACAACAGAAGGACATGGGAAGACAAAGTGAAGATTGGTTGTCACAAGCCAAGTACCTCCCCTGGGCATCCGTTGTGACAACATTCAGTCCACTCTCTCATACGTGGTCCCTGATGTTGGGGGCACACTTCTCTGTCTCCTTTAGGGTGCAGCACAAACACAGCGTGCCTGGGAAGCCTTTTTGTCCTCCCTAAACTCTAAACCTGCACACTCTCTTTGGCTCTCTCCTGAATCCTTCTCGCAATGTAAGACAACCATCAAAAGATGGAAAGCGGGGGCCGGAGGCGCAGCTCAGTGGTACAGAGCTTGCAGGAAGCAGTTTGATTCCAACACTGAGAAAAGAAAAGTCCTAGGGGCAGGAATCATGGTTTACTTATCCTAGTATCCCTGGTGCCCAAGACTAAAACAAGGGACCAACAAATGTCCGTTGACTGAATGAATGCTCCTTGGTTCTGGCCATCTTGGAACTGACAGATAATGTTCTCTGGGGATTTCATCCCCCTGGCATGAGCCCAGGCCCATTGGCTCATTCATTGAGCAAACATTCACTAAGGATTTTTGTGTTGGGCAGAGGAAGCGATCCAGAGAAGAGTCTTGTCTGTGCAGCACGGAGGGAGCCCAGAGGAGGGGCTGAGGATGTAACTTCAAAGCCATATCCAGATTGGGCTCAGAGAAACAAACAGGAGTGTGAGTGGGAAGCCAGTTACATAATGAAAAGAATTGATTTTCTCTCTTCAGTTGGATATTCTGAGCAAGGATAGAGATTTACACCTTAGAGATGAAGCCTGGAAGCCTGGATGCTGAGTGGAAGAGAAACAAGAGGGTAGAAAAGGGGAAACCATTCCTATTACCGGGAGCCAAGCCCCAGGGGACTAGCAATCACTGGTCAACAGCTGTTGGCTGGTGTTTTACCACCCACTATAATCCCTCCCCATTCTGGAGTTTTCCAAATGCTAATAAAAATCCCTCTTGCATAGTAGTCCCTGGCCTGACCTTAGCCCTACTCCAGAATGTGCCCCAAACGGTCTCTTTTCTGGGAAACTTCTTTCTCTTCTCCTAATACCTTTCAGCTTTGCCTCTTCCTGACACCTGACATCTTGCACTGTCTTTTTCAGAACATGCTCTCTTCAACCCTAAAACAAACTAATTGCAACCCTAGAAACTGTAGCCTGAGCTGGGCATGGTGGCGCACGCCTGTAATCCCAGCACTCGGGAGGCTGAGGCAGGAGGATCGCTGGGAGTTCGAGACCAGCCTGGGCTACATAGTGAGTTCCAGGTCAGACTCAACTACATAGTGAAATCCTGTGTCAAAAAAACGAAAAAACAAAACAAAAAAACCCCAAGAAACCGTAGCCTGAGATACCCCTTGCTGAAGACATCTTCTTTGGGAAGTTCAACTCTATGATATGTTCCAAGTGAGCAGTTTTCACAGGTACAGCAGAAAGTAGAGTACAACATGGGCTTATTGGGAGGGCCTTGAAGACTATTTAGCTTCTCTTTGGGTATGAAAAACCTTTCTGACAAATCCCCAAGGCAGCTATCCTACCTTTTACCATCCACTACCTGTGAAAATATCCTTGGAAGTCAGGTTACAGTGACGAACACCTGTTATGCCAGCACTGAGGCTCAAAAGTTCAAGTCCTGTCAGGGCAATTTAGGGAGGCGGTGCCTCAAAATAAAAATGGGGAGGGGGTTGGGGTTGTAACTCAGTGATAGAGCACTGCTAGGTACTATCCTCGGTACCACCACCACCACCAAAAAAAAACTTGGATCAGACCTCCCTGCAAAAGTCCACAGTGTCTAGGAACCACTGATTCAATTAACATGTTTCAGTTACAAGTGAGCTGATCAAATTCCTGTGCAAGGTCACTGGCACAAGTCACGGAACAGGCAGTTAAACTGGATTGAGGAGGCAGGAATTTTAGCCAGGAGCTGCTTGAGGTCAGAGTTGCCTTTCATTCTCAGTGCGCAGGAAATCCCTCCTACAGTTTTAAGCAAAAGAGCAACGGGGTATCATTTACATTTTAAAGAGGTCCTTCCGGTTGCTGCAGTTTAAGAATGGACTGAGAAAAAAATGACAGCACAGGGTGAAGTGTCTTTTCCAGCCTTGTAGCGCCCCCCAGAAAGTCCTGGTGAAGGGTCTGTGACTTCCAGGAGGTGGGAAAACATTTGCTCCAATTCCCCTAGCTTGTTGGTGGGTAGGTTTCCTTTGCTAATTAGATTCAGATACCGCCGAGTCTCACAGTCACCGCAAGGGCGGAGGGGCTGGGGCTGACAGTTAAGTGCACCTGCGAGGGATCTCTGGTTGGAGCCATTAACCTGGCCGGACACCCACAGTGCAGGCCCAGCTCTGGGAGGAAGCTGGTCCCTCAAAGTGGGGAGGAGGGTTGGGGTGGCCAAGAGATAGCTCTGGAGAGTAAAACCTCGTCCTTTCCCTTCCAGTTCTGGGCAGTGTAGGCGAGAATGACTTTTAAACACCCCGTCGGGAGGGGCCGTCACTTCTAGACTTCCCACGTCCCTCATTGCCCATGCAGGACTCAAATCACCAGCCCTCAGAGCCCTTCAGACCCTGAAGTCCTCCCCCTGGGCCGTGAGGCCCACACCTAGCGGCCCTCATAAACCAGCAACTCAACGTCTAAGGTCCAGGACCTGGTCTCCTTGCCATAGAGAATGCGCTTCACTTCTCCGAAGTCTGCGAGCGGCAGGTACTTCTCTAAACACTGCTCCAGAGACTCCCATTCGGCTCCCGCCATGGCCGGAATTGACAAGCGTCAGGGTTCAGTGCCTGACCCCAGCTGACTGCTCTTTGCACCCTGGCGAAGGCGGCTGCCAGGACAGCTCGCCTTCCCTCCCCTTTATCCTAGGCCGGGCCGGAGAGGGCCACGTGTGGACACGCCCCCTCCTAGAGCAGCCAATTAGGGCCCCAGGGCCCTCCCCTTGCCCTTCGCACCTCTTTAGACACGCGCTAGGACACGCCCTCCTTCGGGCACACAGCCAATCAGAGCTCCAGAGATCCGTCTGCGGGGCCCCTCCTTGCGCTTTGCACTTCCTTTGACTTGAGGCAAAACACCCTTCTTATACGCAGTACCTCGGGCCCACGGCCCCACCCCCACGCAGCTGCCAGCAGGGCGGTTGTTCCTTCCGTCCTCCCTCAGGGGAAAGCATCTCACAGGTGCTAGAGGCGGTCCTCTGGCTCTCCTCCCCCTTTGTATACGTCCTGCACTATTCCGGGCTTGAGCGTCTATGAGTTTGGTGTCCTAGGAAACAACCTTCCAAGGATATCTTGTAAATACCGCGGATTTATTGACGTGGAGTGAAAAGGTATACCGCGCTGTGAAACCCAGGAGAAGGAGTAATTTCCAGCCTAGAAAGAGAAATCACTGAAGACCTCATGGAAAAGGCTCCCCTACTAAATCAATATGCCTCAGGCTGAACTCGTTTCTCTGGTCTGATTTGATTTTCTGATCTGCAGTCCTCGTTTCATTAATGAGGACCGTTCACTCACGTGACTTTGGGAGTCATCCGGAAACGCCTTCATTTTGACGTCACGTCCGGTTGAATTTATCTCTCAGGCTTTGCTCAAATCTTTCTCCCTCCCACCTCCACTGCGTAGTGGTCTAAAACAAATGTCTTCGCTTCCTTTGGAGCTCTCATTCCACTTCTCCCTCCCTGTGAGCTCCTGCTCCTTCTTCAAGATGCAGTTGAAACATTTCCTCCTGCCTCAGGAAAAGTCAGGCTCCTTCAGCCCTTTACTGACACCTCTTCTAGCACCTTTACCCAACACTGTTGCACAATCTGGAAGTGGGTCTGATCTACTTTTGTACCTGCAGGACTTTTGCACTCATTATTATTATTTTGGTACTAGGGCTCAAACTCAGGACATTGTGCTTGTGAGGCGGGCAAGGAGACACTGAGCTACATCCCCGGCCCTTAAATGATTATTGGAGAAATAATTGTTACGGGATCAAGGACAAATTCATGAATGTGGTGATATGGAAGCTGGACTTTGAACAGGCATAGAAAATATTGCTAGCTAGATTGCTGCAGTCTTCTTTCCTTATTCAGTGATGGTTTATCCATATGAGGTCATTATGACACAGTTTCACAAATAAAAAACATTAACTTGAGAAGGAAAAAACTGTTAAATCTTTATATGTGCTTAGTTTATTTTTTAGTCAGAACAATACAACATCTCACTAGATCCTCCTATGATAATCATTAAGAGAGACTTTAGATTCTACCCTAGTTACCTCCTGAAATATCTCGTGAAATTCCACAAGAGTCATACCTGCTTGGAAGCATATGCCAGAGATTTTTCTTCTTGTTCTGAAGAGTAACTCTGTGACAACGTTGTGTGGTTTCTAAATGTGTCACCTATAATTTGGTAAATAAGTAAAAACGTGGGCTGGAAGGATAGTACAGACGACTTCAGTATGGAGGCTGAAGCAGGAGGATCACAAGTTCAGTGCCAGCCTAGGTTACATAGTGGGTTTAAGTTCAGCCTGGACTACATAGTGAGACTCAGCCATGAAAAAAAATTTAAAAATAAAAAAGCCTTAGAGCAGTCGTCAGAAAACCTGCCGTTCAGTCTGGGTTCTACAGCAACCTCAGTTTTCTTCTTGTAAGAAAGGAGGGGCGGGAAGAGGGAAGACAGTGTAGAGATGATCTAGACCCCAGAGTTTTGTCTACTTCTTATAAAATGTGATTCTAATAATCTAGTTGTGTATAAATTTCTCTATATGCTTATTTATTACCAGAGAGTTTCGGTATAGAGCCTGGTTCTATGGAAAAAGTTCATTTGTTAAAAAATATGTTAATGTCTGCTTTTAAGTGTTACTTTTAAATTCACAATATGCGTTAAATCTAATCCTCAGGGAAGATATTTAAGGTACTGGGAGTTTTGCTCATTGACACTGAAGGACTACAATTTTATGGTGATGATTGGTGAGCATTTCTTGAAGTCCCACCTATCTTCTCTGTGAGCTGGAGGCTGCTTATGTCTCCGTTTAATACTTTATAGCACACAAGGCTTTTGCATCTTCTGACCCCATTTTATCCTCCCAATATTGAGATAAATGGTAGGGGGCCTAGGTATTTGTCAGATTTCCAAGTTAAACTGGACGTTTACTGGAAATGAAATTGTAGGAAGCCAATATTACACATGTAGTCATAGGGAAAGAGATCTGAGGTAATTAAAAAAATTTGGGGGGGGGCACCAGGGATTGAACTCAGGACCTTGCATTTGGGAGACCAGAGCAGCACCACTGAGCTACATCCCTGACCCAAGGTGACTTAATTTTTGAGTAACTTTCTAAGGCACAGTTTATGGGTAAACTCATACCTACATGGTGTTCCTTAGCTCAGAAGTCACTGTTCTCTCTCTTAGCTAGGGCTTATTTTATAGTTAGTGTTAATGCTATCGGCCTGTTCAGATTTAAATGTCTCACGTGAAGGAGTTTTGGAGCAGAGCTCCCAAACTTACGGGGAGGGAACTTTGCAGCAGAGCATGGTCTGCCCAACTAAGACCACGACGCACAAATTTGTCTCCCTTTAAGCCGTGCAAACTGCTTTTGCGTTGGATGCCTGGCCCATCTCATTCCAAGACAGCCTTTGCTTCCAGTAAACTTTCCTTTGAAATTACTTTTAAGATTTTGTCTTGAATTGACAAAGAATAATTGTATGTATTTGTGAGTGAAAATGTGACTAGTTAGTGCATACATAATGAAATGATCAAATCAAGCATGTCTATCGCCTCAGATTATTGTTTCTTGTTAAAAAACACTTGAAATACTTTCTTTTATGTATCTTGACTTATACAATGCATGGTTACCAACTACACCAGTAAACTTTCCTAATTCCTCTCACTGTTAGCTGGTTTACACTAAAATGTCCTAACAACTCCATTTTATTTAGTAGGGGGCTTCCTACAGGAACAGCCTCTGATGGTGAAAAGTCAGGCACGAGGAAAGGCATTGGGAAAAATATTGAGGTCAGGAGATCCCTCCCCTCCCTTCTGATAACATTGTTTAGTATTATTTTCTGGAATATGTCCTGTCTGATGATGTATCTCATACACTTCTGTTTTTGTACCTGGGATCAAACTCAGGACCTTGCACTTTTGAGGCAGGTGTGGCACCACTGAGCTAAATCCCCAACCCTCTTTCTAATTGCTAATCTCTGTGTCTAGGAGGCCAGTCAATCCTCTGGCTGTGAGAGCCAATGGGGAAAAAAAAGACAATAGAGATTTACATAACTTCAAAGTGTGTGGGGGAGCTGGGTGGTCAGGGCCTCAGAGTGGGCAAAGATGAGGACTCCAAGCTTGCCACTATTTATTGGGTACATAATTGGAAGGAGCATCAGTGACTCAGGGAGTGGGGCCAGGATCCTGATCCTATGTTGATGCAAATTTCATGCTGATGAGGGCAGAAAGGAGAGCATTCCCACAAATGTAGCTGGGAGGAATTAAGCTGCTAAGGAACGCGTCCCTCCCCAGGTGAAGTCTTTCTCTTTGTGTATTACTACTGGGTTCTCAGAGAGCCAGGCTGTCTTCAGCTGACATAATCTTGCCATTTAGCACCACAGCATCATGGACCATTGAGGCCTCAGCTGTGACCTGAGGCAAAACGGAGTTGTGTTTCCGCCCACCATATCCGGCTCAAGAGCAAGGCAACACTGGGCTGCAGACAGCTTAGTCATACTTTAATTATGAAATGATTTCCCCCCAAATCTATGTAGAAATGCCCCAGACATCTGTGTACAGGCTCTAAACATCTAGAATATTTCAACCAACTCCATCAGGCTTCCTGTCTCCCAACTCTAATTACCCTTTGACCTTGGTTCCCAAGGAGATACAGTAGTGTAGGCCTTTGTTATGACATAAGGCTCTTTAATTTGGTTTATCTTATGATTTGCCTTTTCCCTGTCCCCTTTTTTGGGCTCCAGCATTGTCAAACTGTTGGAGGCTCGAACCCTCCAAACCTCTGTTTCCGCTCAGTACCTTCTTCACCTAGATAATCCCTACCCAAATTTTAACATCCAATTGAAAGGATCTTCTTTCCATAAAGCCTTCCTGGCTCCTTTAGGCTCCCTCAGGTTCCCTCCTTACCATAGCGCTCTGTGCAGTTAATATTGAACCTGTTAGAGTAAGAGTTATAGCATTTTTTTTTTTTTTTTTTTTTTTTTTTGGTACTGGGGATCGAACCCGGGACCCTGCTGAGTTAAATCCCTGGCCCTATAGCATGTCTTTCGATGTCTTTGAATCTACAGTGCTTTGCATATAACTGGTGCTCAATGACTGTTGAATCAAATTGAACACCATACTCATATATGTAAATGATTATGATATAGGGGGGAAAGATGTAACTCCCAACCCTACTAGATATCCAAAACACAAGTTTCTGTTCTCTAAAATCGAGGAATGAATTCTAGGAACAACAGAGGTTAAGAGTAGGAAAATGTATTGAGAGAAAGAAAGCTTCTATCTAAGAGAGACAGAACGGGGACCAGGAAGGGGGTTGCTTCTTCATCCATCTTCTCAAAGGTGTTTTATGGGACAAAGCCATGAGGTGAGGCGGATTCAAGGTGGGACAAAACCATAGTCAACTAGTAAGACTACAAGCACAGTCACTTAGGTAATACTGCCCCAATGAGAAATCACATGGTGGACAAAACTATGAACAACCAATAAGACTGTGATAAATATAGTTCCTTAGGTGAATCGATTAAATGGGGATCCAATGGGGAAACAAGTCATGCAGCAAACGTACAAGGAATGAGCAAGGATTTTCCATGATAAGGGGTGGGTCAGGGATCTTTCCTGGAAGAGCTTGGTCCCCCACGCAGG